CCTACCTCTCCCCACCTCTCCACCTCACCCTGCCTCTCTCCGTCTCTCCCCACCTCTCTCCGTCTCTCAAACCGCCTCTTCGCATCTCCCCGCCTCTCTCCGTCTCTCCCCGCCTCACACCGCCTCTCCCGGTCTCTCCCCTTCCCATAGTCCTGCAGTACATGCAGTTCGTAGAGGACTACTCGGAGCCGCAGCCGTCCGTCTTCTACCAGACGCCCCAGAACGAGAGCATCTACGAGCAGCGCAACAAGCGCTTCCAGGAGGTATACGGCTTCAACGACTCCTTCAGCAGCAGCGACTCTGTGCACGAGCCCCTGCCACCTCCCGCCCTGCCGCCCAAGCAGAGGCAGCTGGTGAGTGACCAGGGGAGCCCCACCCACATCGCTGCCCCGCGAGGCATGTGGGGCCTCTGATATAGCACACGCCTACCATGAATCAGGTAGCATGACCTGACACTTCATGGTGAAGATTTAACGGGGCAGGAGGGGCAGTAGGGTTTGTCCCTAGTGAAGTATTGGCTGTTAAGAATCAGCGTCTGGTATGTCTGGACTTTCTGTGAGGTGTTAGAGCTTGTTTAGTCTGGGACGTCTGTGTTGATTCTCTCTGGATTGGTTACCCTTTGTTTGGTCTGGAACTTTGCACGCATCATATCAAGGCTTCATTTGTGTCATCACCTGCTTCAGGGAAGTAATATTTACTGCTTAGCCGCCCAAGTGATTTTGGTTTTAGGTTCACGTGTCTGAATATTATAGTTCTCATTTTGTTCAATTAATTTAAGCATCTTTATGGCAACACTACTGGAATTACTGGAATGCTTTGGTTCATTTGGACAGCGTGTCAGTTTAATTCTTCTGAAGCACTTTGATAAATATTCTGATATCTTACTCCCTGTCTGCTAGTATTAATTTGGTTCTTCAGATACTGCCCCTCTCATCCCGACCTCCAGCAGGCATAAAGGGTTAAAGGCATGCCGAGGATTGACATGGATGGTACAGATGCACCTAGAACATTGCAGATGGTGTTTTTTGTTTGGCTGTCTGTAAGTGGCAGACCCCCCCCCCCCCACAGCTGAAAACATCTCCTGTCCTGTTCAGAGCTGGGTTATCAGGGAGGGATCAGCCATATCAGGGCGCAGTGAGGTGGACTGAACAGCTGACTGACACAGATCGTATTGCGATATGATATTACAGCTTCACTCCCACCTGCCCATCTCACTGCAGAAGATGAATGTGGACCTTGTAGCGATTCAGTCATGTGGGTATTTGGAAATGTATTCAGCTTTGGTGAGATTTAAGAATACTCTTGGCACCTATCATCACCCACAGATTTCATCACCATCTGCCTTTCCTCTTTTTTTTTTTTTTTTTTTTTACACTGGTACACTTTGGTATTTCTTCTGAATTTGTTTGACGGAATATTCCTGCAAGGTGGAGGGGACACTGATCTTTTAGTCCAACCAGGGGTTTGCGACTTGGAACCCACACAGAAAAATGAATGCATCCATTAACTGTGTGATTGTAGCAGAACATGCAATACGCAGAGTTTTAAAGTGTTAAACCTGCAAGGTAGGATGTGGTTGGCAAGGGGAAGGTTTGGAAGGTTCCTTTGATGTGGGACGCCGTATTCGCCTGCAAGCCCAAGTTACACCTCCTCAGGCCTGCAGAGAACAGAGCTCGTTGTAAAAAACAAATCTTATTATCACAGAGTGAGCTCTGTATTCCATATACACCAGGGTTCTTCAAATCTGGACCTCGATTCCAAATCCAGGCCTTGTTTTCAGTTCTCCCAGGTAGTTAGTTTAATAATTACTGATTTTGATTGGTCAGAGGCTTCACACCTGACTGACAGGTAAAGGAAGGCTGGAAAACCAACAGGGCTCCGACCTCGAGGACCGTGAGTTGAATAACCCTGATATACACGCTGCAATATTTATGCTCCTGCAATGGAGATTATTATGTATTATTACTTCAGATTTAAATCCATTGTTGCATTATCTGGCTCTCAGTGATTCCTTGCAGTATTTGCTGCAGTTGATTAATACTGATAATTATTTACAGTGTGATTAAAATAAGCCATTGTGCCTGTTACTGGACTGGACTATTCTTTTTAATATAATATGGTTACCAAGTTTTTATATAAATAATTACTTTGCAAGTAATTTCTGAAGATTAAAAAGGTGGTCATGCTGGTTGGTATTACGCAAAATATTTACCTGCATTTTTTAGGTATTAATTAACTACTGTTAATTTGATAGATTCCTTTCCTTGTATATACAAATTAAGTATTATCGTGTTGTTGCATTAATTAGAAAATATACAGCTGGTCAACTAGATATCCCTAAGAGTGTTTGCTGTTCGTTTTGGAGCATTGTTTACATGCAGTGTGGATCTTGGGTTTCCCTTGATGTGTGTGTGTGTGTGTGTGTGTGTGTGTGTGTGTGTGTGTGTGTGTGTGTGTGTGTGTGTGTGTGCGTGTGTGCCTGTGTGCGTGCGTGCGTGCGTGCGTGCGTGCGTGCGTGTGTGTGTCTGTGCGTGCCTCAGACCCCATCCTCAACAGTCCTAGGTATTTCTCGCCGGTTCTCCATCAGGAGGTGGGGTGAATGTGCTGGGGGGGCGCGGGGGGGTATGACCTGAGCCTGTGTTTACATGCCGGCTTTGTCCTGCTCTCAGTTCCTCTTGGCGTCTGGTGGTTCCCCTTCCACTTTATGGGCCTCTTGCTTGCTCGGGTTCTCCCGTGGCTGTGCTTCAGCCTGCTGCATAGCTGAATAAACTTCCCCTTGCTCTTCTCTCCCGCCTCTCTCTCTCTCTCTCTCGCCTTCTTCTTCTGTGCACTTCTCTCTTCCTTCTTTCCTGTCATCCTCGCAGGCCTCGCACTCTGCTTCCCCTTCCTCCTCCTCTTCCTCCTCTCTCTCCTGCCACCTCCAGCACACGGCAGTGGCTCCGGAGGAGGCCAACGCTGCGCTCAGCCTCAGCCTGTCCGTCTCTAACTCCTTCCTGAGTGGCCACTCCTCCCTGACCACGCCCATGGTGAGTCCCGGCCCCCCTGGGTCCGTGGGGTCAGCTGTGCCAGTCCCGGGGCCCGTTCCCCTCCGGTCCCTGGCCCTATCTGCCACTGCTTCTTTTGTTACCAGTGCCCTGGTCATTAAAAATCCAGTCCCTCGTTTCTGATATGACAGCGAATATATGGGCCAGTTCTGGGTCCCAGTTTGCTGCAGGTTCCGTCCCCTGAGCTTGGTGTCAGTGGCTGACGCTGATCACCACTGTTACGGCCACATGCCTCATTTCCTATAATCCTCTTGATCCTGTCCAGAGATCTTCTTCTGCATGAGAGTCTAATAGGTGTATTAAAGTGCTGCCTGTCTCAGTAAATAGTAATGAGCCAATTAGGTGCCTAATTATAATTAGCCTGTATTATTCAATGTAGATGTCAGTTTCCGTGTTTCACTGGAGTACTTACCCATGTGGTGTGCAGCTGTAAGCTGACACTGTGGTTTGTTTCCCCAGGTTGTGGTCTCCTGCAATTTGGTAATGAACGTACACACTAAAACTAGGCCTGTCGCAATATTGCAACGCCATATATATCTAATATGATTTTGCATCGGTGTTTTTATCTTTTTGTTTTATTTTTTTTATATGATATGATTTTTTTTTTGTATGATTTTTATTTGCACTTGAAATTGAGTCTAGTTTTTAGGGGTGGTTTCATTCGTTTTTATTTTAAATTTTTGAATTTTATTTGGTTGTTGTATATTTTATCCTTGGTTTTAGTAATTTTACCTCTAGGGATAGATTGAACGTTGTAGGACTTTGCTGGCCGTGACAAATTGTCACCGTTTGCTGCTGTTGGCTATGTCTATGGTTAAAGTTCATTGCACAAGAGGCCCAAAGATAAACACGTCTAGCGTTAGCTAAACAGTATTTCGAAATGGTAACAGGAAGTATTTGACGCTTGTTTTTATTTTATCTCCGGTGGTTTTGGAACCGATATTTATAGTTTTTTTAGTTGTAGTTTTTTTTTCATATTTTATTTCAGTTTATGGAAATGATTTCGTAAGGAAGTATAATCCTGCCTTGTGTTTTGTAGGTACATATTGCCAGTTTAGTTTTAGTAAAATTCATTTTTATTCTTAGAACAACAATAACACATTTCATAGATGTGACTTTCAAAAGCAGCTTTGCCTGGTGCATTGAAGCTAGAAGTATGAACATGCAGGGCTGCGGACGGTGCAGCACTGTTGCGCATGCAGCAGCACTCGCGCATTCATGTGGCGTATGAATCAGCGCTGAGCGACGCCTGTAACGCGGAGAGCAGACCAGAGGACAGCAGCAGTGTGATTGGCTGGAATTGGCCATTCATTGTTATGGAAACATAATTTGACAATATGGTCAGGAAAAATGATCAAGGTTATCCATCTATCAGCGATAAATTGATAATGTAATTATTGTGACAGGCCTACAGTAAACATGTAAATCTTGCAGCACCATCATTGCAGTAAATCCTCTCCCCACCTTTTTTTGCCTCCGCATTAGATTTCTTCAGTTGTTCTTTCTGAAATGTTGAAACTACACAACATTTCTGCAAAGATTCCCCATTAGAACTCAAGGGTAGCTTCTCAGTTTTGTCTCTTATTTTCTGATTCCTCTCTTTCATGCTTATTTTTCTCTGGCACTTTCGCATGCAGTTCTTTCTCAGAGATTCCCTGTTAGCCCACTGAGCTGCCTCCTCGAACCCTGAGCCGGACAGAGGATTCCCACCTAACAGGCCCTCGCCTGCCCGCTTAAGTTACTGAACGGCAAAGCGTGTTTATATATATATATCCTGCACCAATTCGCTTCCTTTACTTCAGAGCGTATTGTATATTTATCCTGGCTTGTGAAATCAAAGTTCTTTTTCCAGCATATTCTTTCAAATAGACCATCACCAAATATCTTTTTATTCCCGAGCAACAGCTTGGGAAAATTCTAGCAGGGGTTAGAATTTAAATAAATTTTGTTTGATTGCACAGTGATTATGGTCAAAAAACAGTCATCACTTAAAAATAAACTGGGGGGGCTTTCTGCTTAAAGTTTTCCCCGTGCTCTGTACTCTGTACTCCTGTGTTTTTGCAGTTAATAGTAGCAGGTATGCAAACTGGCTAGAGTGAGATTTTCAATTCGAGACAAATCTGCACACCCATTTACATGTATGTAAGGGTTCTGTTGCCTTGTCAATAGTCCATAGGGTTTGAAAACTACCGCAACGCTTTTGTAGCTAATTATAGGTTTATTATGGAATAATAAAGTTTTGCCATAAGATTTCTTGCATGAGCGAGAGAGTCTGAAAGCATGAGAGTTGGCGACCCTGTGGTAATGACTGGCATTTCCTGAGTGTTGCTGGTCATTGGTGTGACAGGCAGGTATCTCTCATTTACGCTGATGTTTAAGTCCACTAATGCTATTCTGATATTTTAAAATGATAAATAATGTAACCTATGCGGAGTAACACCTGTTTGAATGAAAATACTTCTACGTGTATGGTCTTATCAGTCATGGTAACTGCTTCGAAGGGTTAGGGGCTCGTTGTATATAAGCCAGTTAAATTTATATCAGCAGTAGCAGTACGTTGTCATTCTTTGGTGGGTAGATGGTTAAGAGGTTGGACTAATGATCGACAGCTCCTGGTTCCCAGGGTCTGACTGGTGTTCCTTGAGAGAATTGTTTCGGTAGAATAGCTGAGAGTGTTAGAGATGGACAGATGTGTGTGTGTTGGGGAGAAAGTTACCAATCAGTGGTGATTAAAGCAGGGAATTTAGCCTCGTAGACATACAGCAGAGGTTGTGCATCTCCTGAGTAATACCACAGCTTAGACACCTTAAGGGTGTCTCTATGCGCCCATGAAGGGCAGGAATAGTGAAACGTGTATCTCCAGATTTGGGGAAGGGTACATCTGCAATACTAAATTAAGCTGCAACCCCGTGAACCACATGGCCGAACAGTATGTCGTAAAGATCATAAAAATCCCTTATTCACACATTACCTGACCTAACATCACCTATGTGAAGCCACTTCTCCCAGAATGTGTAATTATAGGCTTGTGGATGTAGCCCAGAGCTAGACCTGATTAGTTTTTACACTGATAACTTGTACGTACAGTGCTTGGCCTGTGGCTTGATGTCCTTTGATGTCTTCTCAGAAGTTAAACTACTAGACATTGAACTGCGCTCTGTTGTTTTTTCCTGTTTGTCAGAGTGGGAGTTTTTGACGGTGCCTGGCAGTGTTGTGTGGGGTCCTGGCTTTTCTCACCTGGGTGACGATAATCTCAGAGGGACTCGATCTGTACTTTTCAGGCTTCTGCAGAAGTACATGAAGTTCTGCCTAAAGAATGTCACTTAGCACAGGTTTTCCACACAAACACCAGACTCAAAAAATGGTTGTAGAGTATGGAACCAATTCCTTTGCTGTTCTGTCATGTGATCTTCACACACATTTTTGCTGAAAAGTCAAACGTTTGTGGCTAAAATCTGCGTGTGCGCCTCCGACTCGGAACTTTCCGTAAAGCACGGCGAGCTGCTACAGACATCGTGTAGGAGCTTATAAAGAACTCCAGACATATTTTGTTCTAATCATTATCTTCCTTTTTAAACATATCTCGTTTTCAAACTTGTTTATTTAACCACTAGCTTCCCAAAAGTTCATTGAACTAAGCAGACAAATGTGGTCAGAACTTCATTTCCCATGACAGATGGCACCACAGGGTGCAGTGACACAATCGGCTCATGCATGTCTGATTTTCTCAGATGCTAGAGCATCCGGCTGCTAGGCTGGCAGAGGCTGGTCTTTAAGGTTCCTCAGGCTGCCCTGGTCTTCCCTCAGCCTACGCCATTCTCCTTTATTTTGGCAGCCGTACACACACCGAGTCCGATGGCCTGGTATCTCAGCTGTAAATTAGCCGCTAATTAAAATGTTCACTGCTAAAGAATTCAGCAGCTTTGAGTGGGGAAGCAGTGGAGTGACTGATCTGCTGTTTTCACTGGAGAACCTCAGTCCTTATGCATCTGTGGATTCCGTGGAATGCGGGTCATATGGATATAATGCAAACAGACACCCCTCCTCCCCCTTTTTTCCATGCTTGACTCTGACCCCTTCTGCCTGTCCACAAGTGAAAACTTCACATTCCGCAATTCCTTAGGGAGTGATGCATTTTTGGGAATTTTGGGGGGCGGGGGCGTCACTGGGGAGGGGGTGTGTAAAATCTGTGCGTTAGACCTTGGGCATCATTTCCTCTTTCCTTTTAAGCCTGCATGCTGCTTTCGTTAGTGTGCTTCATGTAAGCATGCTGCTTTCGTTAGTGTGCTTCATGTAAGCATGCTGCTTTCGTTAGTGTGCTTCATGTAAGCATGCTGCNTTCGTTAGTGTGCTTCATGTAAGCATGCTGCTTTCGTTAGTGTGCTTCATGTAAGCATGCTGCTTTCGTTAGTGTGCTTCATGTAAGCATGCTGCAGTGCAAACGGAGCATCCTGCACGGACACAGCACCTGTGTGTCATGCTCCAGGAATTCCCGTACCTTGTGAAAGGGTGATATCACTGCTGGCAGACCGTGACGTTCACACACCGCCCTCTAATCCTGTCTGACACTTAAAAAAACACGACTGCGATTACTGGATGAAGTTCACATTTGATAAGGTTTTATTTTATTGCATATAGGTTTTGTGTGTTTTTTTCCCCCATCATGGGGTTAAACGTGTCTGTAAGCGTATACTCATTTGTGTCTGTGTGTACAAGGTCTTTGTCGAGAGGTACTTCAAGGCAGAGCCTGTGAAACAAGCAGGGTAATCTGTCTATTTCTTTTTATTATTATTGCTTTTTTTTAAGATCTTGCTTGGCTGAGTTTGCAAGATGGTGCATTTCTGTCAGGGGAGATGTTTCCTGCAGAATGGCCATTTGGAAGTTATTTTTGGGGAAGTCTTGTCCTTGCCAAGGGCACGGGGGTATGTGGGGGGTACCAGCGGCTATAAAACACGGGGCACTGGGATCCTTTTCACGTGGAAATGAGCAGCTGAAATTGAATTATCCGCTGTGTGTTCAGCCAAGCCCATCTGAGGGTTTTTTCCATGATTTGGCAGAACAGTGCGCGCGCTGTTCACCGTGAGAATAGGAGCAGACATTCACTGTGGAGACGCTTTTGTTTCCATCTTGTGATCATTCTTTGTTTCATGTTTCCGATTGTCTGGCGGTACTGATGCTTATTGGTGGGCTTCTTCAGGAACGGTCCAATCAGCAGCGTGGAGTGTTTCTGCCCTTGGAAGGCCCTGTCATCCTCACCTAAGTGCCTCACTGTAACCTGGCCGTTTCCTTGCAGACCTTTCACTTCCTATTTTTCTTTCTCTCTGTCTCTTTTTCTCTCTATCCCTCACTTCTCTCCCCTTGTCCTCACTATTCCAGTGCAAGGCTATTTTTAGGTCCTACTCTCAGCACTTCCAGTCTTACAGCCAGACTCCCATTCCGCCTTTCCTCTCATCTGTCTCTTCCCACTTTCCCACTGTCCACCAATCGCAGAGCTCGGACCTTATGGCGCCGGCCAACACCTGCCAATCAGCCGATCCAGGGGTTGTGGCCAATGGTTCCCTGGACAGCTCTGGTGGTTCTCTCGCTGTCTGCCTTCCTTCTGAACCTTCTCTCGCTGACTCTCTTCAGCCCTCTGTGGTGAGCTCCAGCTGTGTGCACTGGCAGACAGGGGGCGCTATACAGCAGTCCAGGGTGCAAAAGTAATTGTCATCATTACTGGTGTAATGGGCCTCTTTCACATTACCAGGTCTGCTTCCTTAGAAGCTGGAGGGCATACTTGCTTTCAGGATTATGATATGCTGGATTTCGTGATTTAAAAAAAAAAAAATGTATTTGAAACTAAAAGAATGAATAAATGGGGAGTGTATGTGTGTGTATCCTGCACATCTGTCCCTGAGATTTGTTTACGTCTATAAGCAGTTGTGAATATCAGAATGGCTGTTCTCTGGCTGAAGATGAAATATCACAGCACTAGAACAAAAGGATTAAACTTAACGTTGGATTTCATACCTTTCATAACATACGATTAGATATGTAAAATTTAGTAGTCACGTTATCAAAAAGACGTGCAAGTTAACTAGTTAGATTTTGAGTATCTGCCATGTAACAAGCTATAGGATCTTTCTTTTGGCAGCTAGCTAGACATGAAGTTCTAGAAGTCCTTTGAGATGCTCCTCTTGGAACATCTTTTCCGTTGCTACTCTAGGTTAGTTTTCTTGCCTCGATATTGAATCTTAGCAAAAGCCACGGCCTTTTTGGAGGTGTCCTGCTTCCCGTGTCAGGCCGACCAGTGATAGCAGAATGAGGAAGTAAGTCGAAAACAAAGCTGCAGACTCCAGACTTCAAGCATTTGATGTGATGGTGTGAAACAGGCCTGTCTGTCAAAAATATAGTGTGTCTGATATGTATAATCGGTTAATATTAATGAAGAAAGGGGGCGTGAGAGATTTGGGTAAGATGGGAACGAGTGGGAACATGGCAGGATGTTGGAGAGGGGACAGAACCCCCCAAGCTCGTCCACGGGGTACAGGGCAGGGGGGCGGCTGCTGTTGGGTCTCCTCAAGGTTTTTGGCCAAGGCTGCTTTTTGATAGGACTGCTGACTCAACACTAGTATGCAGAACTCCTCACCATGGAGTAACTGAATGTTGAACAGGATTTCTGCACTTGGCAGGATATTAAAAATTCCATAATATTTGGGCTAACATTCCACCATATAACAAATGCATATATAATTGCATTAACTACTTAGTCTTAGGTTCTTGTCTTAGGTTCTGGTAGATATTTGGCTAAAGTCTTGGGATTGTGATGGACAGTGCTTCGATTGTCCTATACAAATATTTAAAGATTACTCTCCCCCAATTAGGACATTTATATCATTCTGACATTGTGTGTTTGCCATCATTAGTCACTAACATTCTGGATTTGTTTTAGCCTGTGTTGCGCTACCTTTATGTACATCCTTATGTGTTATTTTTGTGTTATGTCCTTTTGTACGGCTTGAAGTGTAGTGTAGCGTGTTCTTAATCCTTGTTCCCTCAACAAGTGTAAGTACTATGATGTGAGGATATGCACCCCCCTGATAAATTGTTCTTGTTTCATTTATGTCTTGCATTTGTGCCAAGTACCTGAGTGCAGCTGATTCCGAGAACCTGTGATGACGAAGGCAAACTCACATCACTGGTACTTCTTGCTTGAAAGACATTCAAAGATGCGTTTCCCATAATGACAGGGTCACGGGTCTGTGATGATGAGTCATATTTTGAGGTTTGAGACGCGCATCCCCTGTGTGCCCCCCCCCCCCCCCCCCCATCCTGTTCATCGTCGTTCAGAACCGCACGGGACTTTCTGAGATAATTACCCCTGTTTTGACTTGTGCTGTAGACTGTAGCTTTCCTCAGGTCTCTGGCCGTACCTGGCCGGTCATCCGGGTCATTCTCAGTGCCCTCTGTGAGCCAGGCTCTTAATTACTGATGAAGGACATCTCGGGAATTTGGCCCTAGAGCCAGGTGGCGGGAGATGGTGGCCAGTGGCTTCTCAGCCACTGCTGCAGTGTGTGTGTGTGTGTGTGTGAGACCCTCTCTGTGGGTGTGGTATGGTTGCCTCGGCGGTACTCGCCTCACTGCAATGCTGCTGCTTCCCCCGAGCATCATTCATATCCTCTGCTCTCCCGCCCCCGTTCCCTCTCTCCCCCCATAGAGCGAGAGCGCTAACGACGAGGGCGGGGAGGGGGAGTACGTCAATCTGTACTCGTCCAGCCAGGCCAACGGGAAGGTGCCGCTCTCCCTCGGAGTAAGTAGGTAGAGGCGGAGGGCTCACGGGGACGACCCCCCCCCCCCCCCCGGCTTGCCTGGGAGTCTGTGCTTCTGCTTCGCTTAGCATGCCAGCTTTTGCTTGCGCCCTCGATGTCTCCTCACACCTGTGGCACCCCCCCCCATCCACCCTTCCCCCAAGTAATCAGCTGGATACACCGTCTCGAGCCACACAGCCGTGTAGTAGAGAGAAGTGGGGGGGCCCTGATCCTTTATCGCCGGCAAATTAGGCATGTCATGCAGTAACCGACGCAGCCTGAAATGCATCATAGCGGCCTGTACCGTAGTAGTGGGGTTGTTAGCATGCCTGCCCTCTGCAGAGGAGCGGGCAGGTCTGCTGGGGCGGGAAGGCGCTCCGGACCGTACAGGCACCGAAGCTCAAGACTCAGGAGAAATGCCAAAGTAGGAACAGGAGAGGCGGCAGTTTAGAGTCATGGACAACAAAGGAATGTCCCTGAGAAGGGTGGGCCTGTACGTGCGGAAGCAGAGCCCCCATCTCTAGGAGGCAGACGGAAGCAGAGCCCCCATCATCGCGTCGGAGCAGAGCGGCAGCGGTAACTGCATCCTTGTGCTTTGGTTCCGACCCTCAAGTGCTCATGAGACATTTGTCTGAAATCAGCCAGTTTTGTTACTCATTGTAAAAATTCTGATCCTCTGGAAGAAATCCTGGATTCTAATTCCACCTGAATCCCAGGGATTAAAAGCCTCAGAAGTCTTTGTTCTAGAGAAAGACACATAAAGGTTATCCAACAGTCTGCCATGTTTCGGGGGAAATTGCGACTCTTCAGGGACCGCTAACTATTTGAGGGCCCTCTCTGTTCTTTCTTAATGTCTTGTCTGTTGGAAGGGAACAAGTTTGCGTTACATCTTCCATTTGAATTAAAATAACACGTCTGTCATCTTGTTTTGTTCCTGTTTTCTGTACTGCATATTTATTTAAAGGCGCAGTATCTGAGCTCTCGTTTGACTGTTTCGATGGTTGCTGTCTGCCTGACTGACTCGGTGACTGGCTCTGTAACCTGTCTTGAGTGCCGTATTCGTGGTCCCATTGTTCCCGCTGCCTGCCCAACTAAAACCCCTTACTGCACCACCATGTGGTCCTGATCGTGCGTTGTCCATTTACACGGTGAGTCTGTGGGTTCAGTTTATGTGACGACCCAGGTTTTACCAGGCTGCTGTCTGTTGGCAGGATCCCACGGGTGCTGCTGACGATATTCTCCAAGACCCCAGCACACAGGAACCCCCGTCCAACGGCAAGGAGTCCCTGAATTCAGAAAGGTAAGGAGCAGCTTCGTCACCGTTTGCTTTTCGTAGCTTCCGGAAGCCTAGTGGTTCATAAAGGCGTGAAGTTGCACCACACAAGTTCCGAGTCCGACCTCTGTAACTCCCTTGGATATTGACCTTAAATGAATCCCCCCAGGAAAAATACCCACTTGTATAAATCCGGAAATATTATTTAAAAACTTTCAAACGAAAGTCTCAAATGATACATGTGTTCCATTAGGAAATGATACTTTAGTAGACGCTAATCAGCGAGCAGTAACGATCTGTCCGTCACGTGTCTGCAGTAGAAGACAGAAGTCGACTGACTCGGGCCAGAGCGAGGAGGAAGTGGACGAGCTCTCCCTCATCGACCACAAGGAGATCATGTACCGCATAACGCTAAAGCAGGAGGTGGGTTCGGCGTACCTTGGCGTGAACACCTACACGCCATTGTGGCCCTATGCGCATTTACCATCTCCACCATTCAGCTCCAACTGTAAAATGAAATTGCACTATTAAAATGATATGAATTACATTGACAATAATCTTATTTTGAGCCTTAGAACTTGTCTGTGCTCGTACTCCTTGTGTTTGATAGTATCAGGAGAGTATATTATTTGCTTAGTGAGTTCAGTTTGTTTCTTGGGATGGTCATGTTTTGTAGTTGTAAAGAAAATAAATAAATGTCACCAGTTACCTAGGTAACAAAGGAAGGTCTACCAGTTCTGGGATACACCCATTATTATATTTGCTTTTACTTTGTCTTTGTATCGAGGCTCTGCTGCCCTCTGTCGGCCAGCTATAGCAACTGCAATCACATTTCCTCTCTCGTTGGTGCTGTATCAGATGCTTTGAAGCACTCTGCCCAAAGAATAGTTTGGAAGGTCACACACACATCTGAGTACTGTGCCAATACATGTGCCCCTATGTAAAACTGAGGGCTTGTGTTAACGAGGGAGCTTCTGCAGGATGGGTACGGGGGGGAGGCTGCACCTTAAGGCCAAAGGAATATCTCTCACCCCTTTTTTTTTTTTTTCTCTCCCGCTACTCCCTCCCTCCTTCTCTTTCTCTCCTTCCCCTCCCCTGCTTCACTCACCCACTTTCACGCTCTTGACAACTCAGAACGACGACGGTCCCGATGTTCGTGCCGGATCAGGAGACATTTTATTAGTCCATGCGACCGAGACGGATCGCAAAGGTATGTGTCTCTGTTCAGCAGGACTGTCTGCATCCAGTGCTGCATGCGTCACTGCAGCTCCCCCCGTGTCTGCGCGTTTCTGCAGAAAGGGGCCATTAAATACGCCTTGCTGTTTATTTTCCCGGCGGGAAAATAAACAGCCGTATTCATAGCCGGGTACCGTATTAGACATACCGATGCTGAGAGTGTTTGCCTGGTGGTTTTTGGCAGCTGTGCACTGGCTATAGCTTCCTGTAAGTTTCATTTTCTCATTTTCAGTTCTGTCAGTAGATGAAAGAAAATAATAAATGGTGGAGATTTATGTCCAAACGATTCATTCGCTGTTTGACAAGTTGCTTTTTCCATCTGTTTTCCTTACAGACCTTGTTTTATACTGTGAGGCCTTCCTGACGACTTATAGGACGTTTATAACCCCCGAAGACCTTATAAAGAAGCTGCACTATCGATATCCTTTTGCTGGCCAGGAGCGGCCGGGAAGCTGCAGACCATAGAGCCGCTAGAAGTAATATGTGCAGCCTCAGGTCATGTTTACTGCAGCCCGGCTCAGAGATAAGTGGCAGAAAATCGAAATATCATGGCACCTGGCTTTAGCAAGAACCACCATCACCAACCCCCCCCCCCCAGAGAGACTCTGCACACGCTAGGGGAACCCCCGACCCCTTTCTACTGCCCGGTGTTTCACTTTGCAAAGGCACCTGCTTTGCATGTAGTCGACTCGGGATGTTTTATGGCCTGAGAGTGGCGTGCTTGGGGCTTTGTGGCGTGACTTTTCTAAAAATGGCAGGTCTCCTTGACCCCGTAGCACATATACCAGGTTTTGTCACAGCCCCGACACGTTCAAGAAGCGAGTCAGCAAAAACACCTTCTTCGTACTGGTTCGTGTGGTGGACGAGCTGTGGTGAGTACACATCCCAGCACTGTCTGGGCCACATGCTTGACCGTAGTACTATAATACATGGCTCCAGTAATAATTTTTGCCAGTGTTTAGTCTTATTACGTTTTGACCACATTACCCGACATGCCAAAGGTCACATTTTGATATTTTCAATTGACAAAGTCTGAAACCTTAAGTCCATAAATTTCAAAAGAAGTACATTTTTGAATTTAGAACCTTTGGATTATGAAAAATCGTGTGGCATTTCATGATGTTGGGTTCATAGGTCTAAACCTAAATTTCAGATACTGATTTCTGTAGGATTGTTTTCATTTGACCTATCAGGTGACTCGCATGCACCATGACCCGTGATGTGAACTCTGGAGAAGTTGCGAATCGAGTGGCAACCTTCTCCGTGTCTTTGCAGCCTCGTGGAGCTGACTGACGATATACTGAAGCAGCTGATGGATCTAGTTTTCCGACTCGTGTGTAACGGGGAGCTAAGTCTGGCCCGGGTCTTACGGAAGAACATTCTGGACAAAGTGGAGCAGAAGAAGCAGCTGCGCTATACCAACTGCCTGAAGCCGCTGGCTGCCCGTGGGGTGGCAGCAAGGTGGGGTCTGGGGGGGGCCTGGGCAGCCATTGATTGTCAGCTTTGGTGGAATCAGATTGACATTTGGTGGTCCCTGTATTAGCCTTGAGTTACGTCTGGGAACATGGGAATTGTGCATCACTATTTTGTCTTTGTATGTTTTTTATGTAGATGTCTTGGTAGATTATTTTGTATCTTCTGGATGATTCTTTTCTGTTTAAAGGATATTACAGAATCTGTTTGCAAACAAGTTTTCGGAATTTGACTCCATTTCCTTGCCAAAATGATGCAGTGTCTTTCTTTCCGGATGCAGACCCGGCACTCTTCACGACTTCCGCAGTCACGAGATCGCCGATCAGCTCACTCTCCTGGACGCGGAGCTCTTCTATAAGATTGAGGTAAAAGACACCCACACAGCATGACCCTGCCTCGCTCGTTTCCTCCTGCCGACATGTATACATTTCTGACCTCCCACTCTGGTCTAGATCCCCGAAGTGCTGCTGTGGGCAAAGGAACAGAATGAGGAGAAGAGTCCCAATCTGACGCAGTTCACAGAGCACTTTAACAACATGTCCTATTGGTATGTCCTGCCACTGAGGTGTGCGGGCGGCCGTCTCCGGACGATAGGCAGGCCGTGGTGACCCCCATTTCTGCTTCCTTCAGGGTGCGCTCCATAATCATTCAGCAGGAGAAGGCCCAGGACAGGGAGAAACTGCTTCTTAAGTTTATCAAAATTATGAAGGTACCTGGCCCGATCGTGCACGCCGTCTTCAGTGTCACCTTTATTAATGACATGAACTGTAAGGCTCTACGCTACAGAGGCTCCGTAAACATAAGGAAGACTTTGTGCTGTATGATGCATTTCCTTAAGGCTGTTTTTTTGTCTGATGCTAAGAATCTTGGAGATGTGCTTATCATACTTTCTCTTCCCCCTTTTCTTTAGCATTTAAGAAAGCTGAATAATTTTAACTCCTATTTGGCGATACTGTCAGCGTTAGATTCTGCACCTATTAGAAGACTGGAATGGCAAAAACAGACTTCAGAGGTAAGTTGGTCTGGATAAGCCAACGTGAGTGCAAGTTTGTAGCCATCAGCTTGTTAAATGCATCGCCTCTTAAAACAGACCAAAGCGTTTTCCAACCCGGTCCTCTGGGACCCACAGTAAGGAGCTGGGAGGGAACAAAAACGTGGACCGTCTTGGCGTCCCTGAGGACTGGGGCGGTGAAGGAGTTATCACTCAAATAAGGAATCATTGTCCTGTGTTTCAGGGGTTAGAGGAGTACTGCACCTTGATTGACAGCTCCTCCTCCTTCCGGGCATATCGAGCAGCACTGGCAGATGTTGAACCTCCATGCATCCCATACCTGTGAGAAATCCCTCTCCTTCAGCATTGTGCTTGCAGCACCAAGTGCTAGTTGACCTTGATAACCAATAATGCTTTAGGGGCAAATAAATAGATGTTTGATTGAAATTATTAAATCCAGTATGGATATGTGGCATGTAACATTGACTATACAGTTTATTGCACCGTTAAATAAGGGAGCGTACTGTATATTCTTAATCACTGGACTCATTTATTTATATAGCTACGTCTTTGGATAGAGTGCTATTGATCTCTCTCCCGGCTCTCCATTCCCCAGAGGGCTCATCCTGCAGGATTTAACCTTTGTCCATCTGGGGAACCCAGACCTAATAGAAGGAAAAGTCAACTTCTCCAAAAGATGGCAGCAGTTCAACATCCTGGACAGTATGAGGCGCTTCCAGCAAGTGTGAGTGTGGTTGACATTCTCCCTCCCCCGCCCCATCCTTCCCGGCCTTCAGACATTTGCGGGGAATGAGTTTGGATCTCCCAGACTGTCGTACCTCGTTTAATATATGTGTCCTCTCTTCCCTAGACACTATGAGCTGAAGCGCAATGACGACATCGTCTCCTTCTTCAATGACTTCAGTGACCACCTGGCAGAGGAGGCTCTCTGGGAGCTGTCTTTGAAAATCAAGCCAAGGAATATCACGAGACGCAAGACCGAGCGGGAGGAGAAGACCTAGGAGTGTGGAAACATCTCGCTGCCTCAGAGGGCGACAGAGCAGAACTAGAATAACACTTTGAGAGACAAAACAAAACAACAAACAATCGCCTGAATACGGAAAAGAAAAAAAAAACTGTGACGGCAGCTAAAGAACTGGGAAATGTTGTGTCTGTTACAGTTTACAGAACTTTTTTATTATTATTTGTTGGGAACTATGGAACTCTGCCGTGTCTCAGCCTGAGCTTGGGCTGAGTTGGACGAAAGATCAGCTCGGAGCACAAAAAGCAGGAGGCTACAGAGAGGATTCGGTTAAACCGATAATTATTATTATTATTATTATTATTTTTTACATTACGTCCTATCCATTTCAATGTGTGTGTGTGTGTGTGTCTTGTACATTGCCAACCATGTCTGGGAGTGACCTTCCTCCGCCTACTTGGGAAGCCAAGATGTTTGCCTGTACATGGATGACTCCTCTATCGTGACGTGCCATCCTGAGACCCTGTCCCATCCTCATGGACTGTGGTTGTCTGACTGTGGACCCCCCCCCCCCAATCTGAAAATGAGGACGACTGTCCACTAGGGTTCTGGACATAAATGACAACCCTTGGTGAGGATGGCAATGAACCTGCGAGTGGATGGAGACATTGTCCTAGAATAAACATGTGACAGCCAAATTTTGACAGTGGGTTTTGTTTGAAGCTTAAGTGTATGGATGATTGTGTGTGTAGATATATATATATATTTCTCCTTTTGTTCTTTAAAAGGGTTTCAATTTGTAAGCAGTGGATCTTACCTCCTTCCGAGTGCAATAGAGATGTGCACTTAAAAAAAAAAAAAAAAGGCCTAAACAAGAAAATAGCAAAATGCTGTGATTCATGTCAACAGGCAAAAAAGCATTATGGGGAGTAAATGGTCAGGCAATAAGTGTCATGTTCCACAGCCCCACAGAGTCTGTTTGGAGAAGATGCGTGAGGTGCCAACGAACTGAGCTAGGGCTCTGTGTTATGGATGAATGTTTGCTGGACTCTGATGTAAAGAGAGGGAATTCCATTTGAGGAGAACGCCTCTCATCCTGTTTCATATGGTGTAGTACGTAAACTCCCAGTTACTCCTTAGGAAATTCAGCTCTGCCTATACACACATCACACTGTGCATTCTTGCAGTCGAATAAAATATTCAGCAATATTTATATCTGTTTCGGGTTATGTATGAGGTGTTCTCAGCCTGATTATTTTTATTTTGCCTGCCCCATGTCAAAGCGTCAACGCTCAAGCTATGTGGCAACAGTCACTGTTTCAGCTGGGTCAAAAATGTCATGAATACTGAACAAATAAAACCATGGCTTCAGCAATGAAAATAAAATGCAACTAACCAATGTGTGTGTGTGCTATAGGACAAACGGCTAGAGGGAGTGAAGTACACACCACTCACGCCGGTACGTGGCATGTATTTGAGATGGAGAGTGATTCTCTGATCAAATCACTTGCTGACCATTATTGTTTCTCTTTTCTTTGCAGAAAAAGTCAAACTTTAAAATGTGTTTTAGTGCTTATTTCTGCTCTGTAGAACATGAGGCTAAGGTTTAAGGCATTTATAATCATTTAGGTAGCTAAAATTTAGTTTAATACTAGTACAATTGCCTATAATATAGTATAATCTCATACTGGACTTCTTTTGCAATATAAAAATACTTCTATGGAGATGTATGAAAAGTTGGGGTCATTCAACTTCTGTAATTTAATTTTAGAAAGTCTAGATTGCAACTTCTCACTCTGTCGGACCATCATGACAGTAGACATGTTAGTATGTTTGAGACAGTCAGTTATTCTGAACAGTAAGTGTTTTGTTTCCAGTAGAGGAAAAGAGAAGTTTTCAAAAATGTCACACTTCACACATTGAACCCAGATAAATGGATGTTACATACTGGTTATCTTAAATGAAATACGCCATCATTTGGCTTTGGTGTGTCTGGAGTAGATTCCTATTACCGCAGTTACAGAGTTTGAGATTGGCAAGCCAAGAGAGTGAGAAGTGGCATTTCCCCATGGAAGGCATTGTGAACGGCGATGCAGCCTACATTTCTGGCTGGAGATCAAGTGCAATCAAGCACACACTTCCGACTCCTTGGTTTGGGACGTCACTCTTCAGTGTGTGTCCTGTGCATGTTCAGCTACTGGTAACCAGTTTACATCGGTGATCTCAGGTAAATTCAGATGTTTTTATTTTTAATGCATTTTTGGCCAAGTTGTTGCACATTTGTGTCTCAGACTGAGGCCTGGACAGTCTAGCCTGCTGCTGTGTGTGGAGTCGACCTAAACACAACCACTTTTAGCAGTTTAAGTATATTTTCCATAAAATCCAACTGATGGTGTTCCTTCTCATGTCTACCCATCCAGAAGCTTCACTGGGCCAGAAATCACAGATTTCTGAGGCCTGTCAGGATGGTCCGCAGTCCCACGCTCACACAGCCCTCACGCAGCGGGGGCCCTCGGAAAATAACCCCTAACAATGTAATAGCACTTGGCTTCAGTTAACTACTGAACCAGAAAAGAGCTTCCCTTCTGGAACCTGTCCATGGGACACTGGGGGTGTTTACTTGGGTATTTAAATGAGCATATGCAAAAAATGCCAGCGGAAAAATCTAGTTTTTTTTTACATTGTGTGGGATGCTGCTTGGCTAAGCACTGTATTCATTCATATTTCTTTGCATGGTCACCAATTCTTATGTACTGTCACTGTAATTCTCAAAAATGGAAACAATCTTTATATTATTACATATTTAATTTGAAAATTGAATATACAGAATTAACTGGCATACATTCACCTATGGAAGCCTTTTATTTCGTCATTTTAAAATGACACAAAAAAAGAAAAGACAATGACTGTACTATTATCATTCTACATTAGTCAGCTGACATTCTGTACTAACACAAGTCCACAGGAGTAATGATTAGCAACATCAGACAAACATCCATTATTGACGTTTTCATGTTTATCCTGGGTGAAAATCAAAGAACAAATATCATCTCTTATACAAAGCGAAGAGATGTTAACTGCTTATTACTTAAAATGACCATTCCGTAGTTAATTACAATTAAGATGGGGAGCATGAAGAATATTGTAAATAAATGGAAAACTCAAGGAGTGATTAAGTTTACCAAGTCAATTTCCTATGGAGAGTCTGAAATCCACACCTGGCAGGTCATCAGACGAAATTATTTTTGTAATCAGACAACATTCAAGGAAATTCTCTGTACATTGCACTACCAGGTGGGGGGTTTTGGTTTTTGTACTGGTGTGTTCTGATAGATAAATATCTCTGAATTTACGTCTTGGTGCACATTTAAATTATTATGAATCCTTAAATATCATGGTTTGTCTATTTCCAAACAGCTTGTATGGAATTGGCTGGATGTGGTAAGAGGAAGACTGAGAATTACTCTTTTCAGCTGACCTGGTGTTCCTTCGTTTCTGAAGTCACTCTCTACCTTTGCGTGTGACTCGGCATCCTGACGACGGCCTGGTACCTAGGTGGTGTCAGGGCTCGCCCAGCTCCTCCCCTCAGTGAGGCCGGCTACTGGGCTCCATGGAAATCCTTTTTCCTGGGAGAGTGTCTCCTTGGTCAGAGATGACCCTCTTGAACCCACGGCCGTGCACACCCACTGAACTCCGCTGCCATTTACAAATGTCCCCACTGAGGATGTCTTGGATGTGTTGCACAATGAGATTGATGGCCACTGAAGTGAGATTGGGGAAAGGAGGAGGAGCAAGAGACGGTGGACCTCTCAGTCAGTACTTATCGTTGAATTATCTGGCTTACCGAGACAATTCGAACATTCAAACGTGACACGCCGCCTGAAGACTGAAAAGGATTGACCTTTGAAATGACTTACCCATGTTGTCAACACCTCGAGGTATAATGACATCAGCATATTTCTTGGTCTAGGGAAATGGTAAAGGGTCTTTAAATAGCTGTGTGGAGGTGCTCAACTTCAGATATATACAATACAGCACATTCAAATATCCCTAAGCAACCTGCATAGTTTCTTAGCAGGGTGGTGTTTCTAAATGGTCTTATATACTTAACCTTCCCTACATTTATTTATTTTGCCAAACAGTATAAAGCATGAACAATAACAGGGATCCACATATACTGACTCTAAAATATCGGATTTTTCGCTGTATGGCCTTTTCATTAACAGTAAGTAAATCCAAGTATTACAAAGTAACCGCCAATTGTTTATTTTACACAGTTACTGTAACCTGCAGCAGGTCGGCGTCTCATTACCGGCAGACAGAACTCCTCAAAAGCAGGCTTGACAAAAGTAGTGTACTGAGTCAAGATCTGCTCCAGGTCGCGGCCTCTCTTCATGTCCCTCAGAACTGAAAAATGAGCAGAAACAACGCCGGCCGTAAGTCGAGCCGCAGACGTCGGCAAACCAGGCAGGCTAGCCTGGTGCTGAGAGCCAGGAGAGCGGGGAAATGCAGGGACAAGTACGGCCCATACCTCTCCGAGAGAGACGGACGTCAGAGTCCGTGTCCACAAAGAGTTTCATGTGGAACATGTCCCGGACCTCCTGCGTGTAGAAAACCAGGATGCCTTCGAACAGAACCACGTCGGCAGGGTACACTGTAATCCTCTCCTGCAGCCTGACCACACACACACACACACACACACACACACAAAATGTGAACAGAGACTGTATGACTACAAGGTCGATGTATGTTTTAATACACAATTATTCTTGTCTCAGAAGAGTTAATTAGTGTTATGTCACAAAAAATTCTTAATTTTATTAAAAGTTATTGCGAGCATAAACATGTCCCATAGAGAGAAGTTTTCTCAAGGCTCAAATGTCACTGTTAGTCGTGTTTTTTCCTTCTTACCTGGAGTGGGTGACAAAGTCGTACGTCGGAACCTCAACAACCTTCCCTTCCACGATATCCTTCAGGGTTTGGTACATGAGCTCATTGTCAAAAGCATCTGTGAATCAACAATGATGACACTGTGTCAGAGAATCACCAGGAAAGGAATATTTAAATAAATGCAAGTCTCTCCATGAAAATAATCTACTAGAAAACAAAACACAACAGTATATTAGGGTTACATTTTTTTTAGTATTATTCATTTTCAGTATAATCCATTATACGAAAAATAAATAATGTTTTGTCAATTCCTAAACCGGCATGCAAAACATAAACCCATAAAATGTTATATTCTATAAGTATTAAAAATAATTTATATCATTAGTATAGGATTTATGTCATTAATAAAACCATTCAAATGAAGCATTATTCATATAATTGCGTTTTGGTTTTAAAAAAGTACTGCTTTGAGAATCAGTCATCAACACAATTACTGTGGTAAAAATGAACGCAGGGCATTTTCAGACAGAGGTGTTCCTCAAATTTCTGGATGAACCCAACGCAAGTTTAAAATATTGTATGTCGAATATTAAGGTGATAAGTAACTACTGTCATTAAATATTTGGTTACACACAGGAAAAATACACTTTATGATTATGTTGTTAAATACTGTAGCAGTGAAAAGTATCAATCGCTTTATTGCTAGCCCAGAACATCAAAATTCAAAGTTTGATGACTGCCGAGTCAGCATCACTATCACACCACCGTAAAGTCTAAATATAGTCAGTCGAAGCGTCATAACTGGAGCAGCACATTCTAAGGGTATACCTGGGTGGTCAAAGTTGTACTGGCCCTTAAGTGCTTTGGACTTCTGATCAGTGGTCAGAACCCTGTAGAAGCTGTCCTGGCTGATGATGGCGACCTTCCTCTGGCGATGGTCCACCTTGTTCTGTCCCAGCAGCTCCATGATCTTTGCACAGACAGTGGACTGGGAGACAGCGACAAGAAGCTTTCAGAACTGGGGCAGCGTGATATCACATCGCAATATGAGAAATTTCCATGACTGATGTGCGTCAAACATCCTACAGCCCTGTACAAAATCAAAGTGTTCAGCCAAAGTCAACTGGACTCTGTGCTGAGAAACTAAAACAGCGATATGACTGAAAATCGAATGAAAATAGTTGGAACTATTTGGGAGATCTTTGTAAAAACAGAACAAATGAAGCAGAAAGAACATGTAAAACATCTTGACTTCAAACTTAATGAAAACTTTATGAATATAACAGTAATCAGTTTTTTATCCTCTTGGGTAAGCATTTTTGCTTCGGGAATTATTAAAATATGCTACCCTGATCTATGATAATTGTTCAGACTTCAGGCATGACATGTTGTCCTTAAGCCTTCACTTTATTGAGATCACATATGCAGACACAAGACAAGTTTTAAGAAACAGAAACGTTTCCAAACTAAACGCAGGACAGATAATGCTGCCATGTTACTCATTTAAAGTCGCACTGTGGGCATAACTGTCCCCAAAGACATAATCGTACTTAGAGTAATAGATTAAAATACGACCATGGCTGTTGCACATATAATTAAATCCATTTTTATAGTAGGCATGCCACCCTTTGAGGGCAACAGGAGCGTAGGCCTATACATTAAATCTTACAAAATACATTAATTATCCGTTATAGCAATTTTAATATTGAAGGACCTGAAGTGTTGTAGGTATGTTTTGTATGATAGCTCACGCTCATACATCATGAGACACATGACACACCACTATAATCGGAGAGCTTGTCAAGAACAAGATCCCGACAAACCGGTCAGAATCAGACAGGCAGCTACAAAAGGTAACTGCCCCAAGTCATATGAGTGACTAGATAAATAAAAGCGGTTATTTTAAATACTAAGTAGTTAACGTTATATATAGCTGATGTCCAGCGTGACGCGCTTTATTAATAATAAATAACAAGGAAAAGATATCTGCTGGTTGCAGGGAACGCCTCTGACACCCTTCCTTAGTTTTACATTTTGTCACTCGACGCCAATACGGATATTTAGTAACATGTACAGCTTTAAAAGCCAGGAGCTACATATTTAATATATGACGATTGCTATTTTCTATTACTGTGACGTGGAGCTGAAGGCGAACACTTGCATTGTTAGATAAGCGTACTCGCCATTGCAGCGCTGGCTGCGGCGGGCGGCCGGACGGCGGCATAGTCCCGGGTGTTGCATGCTGACAGCGCCTTACCTTCCCGCTGGCGGTCCCTCCGCTCACCCCTATCAGAAACGGGTGATGCTTCGGCCGCTCCACTTCCGAGGGCGACACGGCGGAGGCCATCGTGCCGAACTGCCTGCTCGCAGACAAGCTTAGGCCCTTCCTTACCCAAGGCAGGGAAATAGTAATTAAAATAGCTAGAGGGGCGCCGGCTGCAGGTCGCGCTTATTCGGTCAGCCCCATATTTTGCTGGCCGCTTAATTTCCTGAATGTCTCTACGGCTTGACTACGGCTTGATTACGGCTCACGGGTGGTGCAGGAGGCCGACACGCCAACATTCGCGCGCCTGGAATCTGCGTCCGCGCGGCCCACTGCGCAAACTCCGGCGGTGAGCTGTGCTGCCGCGCGCCGCTAGGGGACAGGGGACAGGGGACGGGGGACGGGGCGCTAAAATCCGCAAACGCGGGAAAGCGGTTACTGCGCGCGGCAGGTAAAGAACATACACTACGTTCGCGGACGAGGCTAGAAGCAATCGTACATTTCTTTACAAGAATTAGAACAGAATAATGGCGACAGAAGCCTTCATGGGACTCTGGATGCAGCACTTAGAACACGTTATACTTATAAATAAAACTTAAAGTCCATCTGATAATGTATAAAGTGCGGCTGTTGTCGCATAATCGATACCGTATTCGCAGTATACTTGTGTATGTTGTGGTCTGCTGTGGAAGCAAGGTTAAGTTTATGTGATGCCAAGCAGCTGAACAAACTCATCGGGATGACAAGCTCCATCACCGGATTGACGCTGGACCCTCTGGAGAACATTGTAAGGAAAAGGATGGTGGCAAAATTAGGAAACATCATGGAGAATCCTGCCCATCGTCTCCACAGGACGATAGCTTGGAGCAGCTGTTCCCACAGGTTCATTCCACCTCAGCCATAAAACACTACTGTATATAACTATATACATCACACATACACCTCTGAATTTATATATCTTTATATATTTATTAATTTGCTTAACCCTTTGTGTATTGTCATGCACATTTTTTTTTTATTTTGTATTGCGGTTGTATATTTGCACTTTGTGTTTGAATCCAGCTACATTTGCTCTTGGGATCAATAAAGTACAGCTATCTATCAATCAATCTTATTAAAGATTATTATCAAAGTCCAGAAACATCAATGTATTTACAAAATAACTGTGGGACCGTGTGTGTCTGTGTTAATAACAATGCTAGTTTTTTTTAATTATTTTTTGAATTTAATAATAAAAGAAGCAAAAATAAGAACAACTTTACTTGTTTCCATCTATACATACATAAATACATTTTTAAAAATCCCCCATTACTGCTCGGGAAGAACCAACTTAATACAACACAAGCTGGTCTTATGATTGTTCCGACCCTTCATTTGGCTTAGGGCTTTTTTCTTCATGTGACATGTTCGCAGAGCTCTTGTCAAATTCTTCTACCACAACTTCTATTGCTTCATCACCTGCAACCCTCTTCACCTTCTCCCCCTTCTCTGCCAGGATCTCCTCTATGTTCCTGTATGGTGTAGTAACCAGATACAATTCCTGCCCTGAAAAGCTATTCATCTGTAGCAAACAGCATTTCACATTGCAATTTAATGTTGCCAACAGCCAAATTTTCACCCACATTAAATTATCATCCATCAGTTTGATCAGTTGATTAAGTGGCAGGTTTTTTTTGACATTTAAATGTACTCATTTTTAAAACCTTCTACATATCTGGAGAAGTTCTTACACCTCACCTTTTCCCTTCAAGGTCCGAAAACCATCCCAAATTGTCTGCAATTATATGGTGGTTTTTACAGCCAGGACAGGTCACTATGACGACTCCTCTGTGATATGCCATTTTGGATATTTTCTTCATTGATCTGGTTGAGCAAACCTGAAAAACAGAAAGCACACGTTTAGGATTGCCTGTATGGAGTGTAATGAAATATGTAGCTGCAATCTCAGGACGGTAGTGTAACACCGCACAACTCAACGTAAATCGTTTCGGTAAATATGTAATTGGATACATTAGAAGAGAAAAAATCATGGTCAAAACTGCCAAAAGTCCTCTTTTGACAGGAGCATTTATTAAGCAGCAACATAATGACACAATGTGAACGTCCGGCAAAGACAAATCCGCATGGACCGTTGTCTAATAACAGCACGATTATTTCATGCTCGTCACTATAATATCACTGACATGGCTTTATATGTGTTTATCTTTCGTGCCCCTTACCTTGCACGTATACACAAGATGATAATGGCTGGATTGTACCTTTCCCACCGCTTCGCTTCTGAGTAGAGCAGAAGTCGAGAATTCACGTCGTAGATTCAGAGAATTTAGGTTCTGTTTAGGCAATAAATATGCGATTCTTCTAACCAAAGCATATCTCGCAGCCTCGGATAAGTAGTTTTGTTGTATACTGCATCTGTGTTCCATACAACTAACTGATGTCTTCTGAAATAATGAAAATAGCCGAAAAGTAGTAAATGAGTGCCTGAATGCCTGCAACAACACAGGTTTGTTTTGAGTCAGAAGGCAACATTTCGCCATACGCATTGTTTTCTGTAACATTATTCTAATTCTGTTCGTGAACTGTTCAGAGCTAGGCACATGTTTATGAATTCCACTTCCGGACTATAGATTCCCATCGAACGCTACTAGAACAGCTACCGAGTCCACATTAATAACAATTTTTTTTTGTTACACATAATATATGTTATATGCTACAACAATAGTCGAACAATTAAACTTCGCGTTCATAAAGGCCTAAAGTACTATTTTATTATGTAGTAATATGCTTACGCATCAAAATGTACTGCCACCTACCGTTTAGGAGTATAACTGCAATCCAGAAATGGGCACGTTTTAATTTTGGCATATATGTAATGCTAAACGTGTGATTCCTGCGAATTTATTGAGCAGTGCATTTAAAACAATAGTGAGCAGTAACATCAGAAAAAGAACACAAAACACCAAGTAACACGAACAAATAATACAGAACATACATACATACATACAAAGATAATACTCAGCAATGACATTAATAACATAAAAGATAGTATAGTGTAAAATAGTTGATCTATTTTGCTCTTATATTTTATACCGAGTTGCTGTGGATTAGCCTAATGATTCACGTGTGTAACATTCTGGTTCAAGTGCTGATGCTTCTTTGGCACCTGAAGTAAGTCACAGGAGGAAGAGTTACTGGATTCCAAGATGATGCTACCTGCTTTTCTCAGTTAGCGTGAAGCATAAATGTCACGAAGTGAAGGCAGTGTCCTGTTAATGGCAGAGTGATCTTCACCACTGTCTGCAGTGCTCTGCAGGACCAAGCCAAGCAGTTTCTATACCACGATGCACAGCGTTCAGTGAGAATAGATTATATCATTCATCTGTAGAAGTTGGTAATTGCTTCTAGTGTCTCCTGGGCCTTCCTCAGGCACTGAGGAAGTAAAGCCATTGGCCTCCTTGATTGCTGCGGTTGTGTGTTGTGTCCAAATATGTTTGTCTGGTATAGTGACTCCCAGGAACTAAAATCTGCTGACTCTCATCTCAGCTTCCTCCTCGATGTAAACGAGTTTGGTCCGCCTTCACCTTCTAGAAATTGATTACAAGCACCTTGATATTGCTGATGTTATGGGATTCATTGTTGTCCTGGCAGGAGACTAACCTCCTCTGTATGGACTGACAGATCATTGTTGGCGATCAGGCCGCGATAGTAGCATCATCAGCAGACTGGATGGTGCAATAGGAGCTGCATCCTAACCCACACACATGAACAGGGAGTACAGCAAGGAGATCAGAAATCATGAGGACAATGTTAAGGGTCTCGGTCAACCAGGTTTTGTTTCCCACTTACATGTACTGGGGTCTACTGGTGAAAAAGTCAAAAGAGCGATGACTTATGGTGGTGCTAATTCCCAAGTCCAACATCCTGGTAACAATCCTTGAGGGTATCATTGTACTAAGTATATATAGAGGTGGATAGTTCAGGTCCAGAAAGTAAAAATCTAGACCAAGATTTTGTTTCATCCAACCGTTTGAGTATAAAGAGTAACAGTACTCAACTGGTTGGTTGAAACAAAATCTTGGTCTGGATTCTTACTTTCTGGACCTGAACTATCCACTTCTGCAATTATCTACAAACGGTATTCTAGCATAGGAGCTTTCTAAGTTGTCTGGGACATTGCTGTTTATGTCTCCCATTGAAAATCTTTCTAACAGCTTCATGGCAATGGGGCTGAGAGCCACAGGGTGGTAGTCATTTCGACTGTGCACTTTGTATTTCTTTGGGACCGGAATGACGGCAGTGTCTTAAAAAAGGTTGGAATTGAGGAATCCCTCAGAGTGAGAGATCAAAAATGCCCATTAAAAACACCAGCGGACTGGTCACAGCAAGCGTTTAGATCGCATCCTGAAACCGCACCGGTGCCACCTGCTTTGTGAGTGTTAATCTCACAGTGAGAGAAGCTGATTTCTTTGGCTGCACAGAGGCTCTCGCCGGAGGATTTTGGGTCTGCATGATCAAAGAGAACATAGAGAATTCAGAATCTGAATTGGACATGTCCAACTCTTTTTTTTGTTCAATAGATTTCGACATGTGCCCTGAGTTCTGGAGTAAGGTGATTCTAGTTTGTCAAAATATAACATATTCTCTGGTTTATTACTCTCTGAAGGTCATGCCTACATTTTTTGTGCAGCTAAAAATCTCCAGACTGTGAGTTTAATTCTTCCCTTAACTCCCTGCTTGTGGAATCAGTACCTTCTCTACGCTGGGCTTGGGAAGGAAAACATGCATGAAATGCACAACAAGATTCAAAGCATCAACCCCAAATTTGTGAGATGACAATGACACCCAATAAGCTAATGTGCTGCCAGTGACAAGAGAATTAAGTTAAATTCAGATGTTCTATTAAATTATAAGTTACTTCTTTTTATAAACAACTCTTGGGCTATTTTTAAAGAGAAACTGGACAAACAGTGTTCAGTGCCAAAAGAAGACTAATAGGTATGATGGGGGAGGGGGGAGGAAAACTAAACTGAACTGCTTACATGTGGAGGCTCTCTCACCCTCTAGCCCCTGTCAAACAACAAGGGGAAATTAATCTTTCTCCTATGAACTGAGGAGAGGAGCGACATGCAGAGCTGCTTATCTCTGCCTCCCAAGACCTGTGTTGTGGTGATGCATGTCCTCCCGTGACGGCAGAGCCAGAGGATATTTTTGACACTAACTTTTTGATGTCTGGAAAAGAGGAAATGCATGGCAGACGGTTCTATGCACCGGAAACTCTCTGGGTATTCCTGCCTTCTGCGAACTTGTGAAGAGGCTGTTTTTCCAGTAAGTTTCATGACAATCCATTTTCCTCTCTTGGTTTGGAGTGTTGATGTAAGTATTACAAGAAGCCAAAGAGCTGCACAAAGTACTTATTTGAAATAAACTTACCCTGCTGTGTCTTCTAAAACTTTATTAATAGGTGCTGTGAAATGTCATTTCATTCCACTCCTGCTGTGGTTCCTCCATGCTAAACGTTTACTCTCGAAGGTGGAATATGTTTGTGACTAGTTTTTATTTATTTATTGTACTTTGCCTTTCGCAACAAGAAAAGGGCTAAACTGGATAGTTTATTGGGAAGCTTTAAAGTAATAAAATGACATGCAAACAGACCCCCCCCCCTCCCAGGGGTTACCACTGCACTTAAACAACATACCTATTGTGTGACATCCAAGTCAAGTCTCAAACCATTTGGTTAAAATATATGCAACACATTAATTAGTGAGAAAGTCAAAAGGCCATGTGGGCACCAATTGTCCACCTGGCTCATGATCTGCACATGTCAGACGTTTGAAGATGCAAGTAACCTTGCTGACTGTACAATGAGGGCTCTTTGGCCGCTTCTTCAGAACTAGGGAGTCCAGCAGAAACGGCTGCGATGGCCCTTCATACACACGTGACCAAGGCCCATTGCACTCCCCAGCACACAACAGTCATGAAGAATGCTGCTAAATCACAAATTCTGATCATTAATAAATCCCCAGATCAAAGCTGATTGGTCCTCAGTGCAACCACATGCTCTCATCACTTTTAACATCCTTGCATGTAAAACTCCAAAAGAGGGAATTTCTTTATCCTCCCTCTTCCCTGCTTCTGTATTATCCTGTCTTAATGGTGTGGTAATGTACCTCAACACACCCATGTAATGCGCCTTGGGGCAACTCTGTTGTTAAAAATAAGTTGAGAATTTCTTCGTGTTTCTCTGCGGTTGCAGGTAGACGGTACACGTCCTTTGTCAGTACACCCACACGCCCCCCCACAAAGCCATCTACTCAGATCTATGCATTCAGGGAGAATAGCATATGTGACGTAAACAGCCGCCTAAATGCAAACTGCTTTGATAAAGTCTCCTGACACAATTTGCTGTACATAATTAATATGAGCAATTAATATAATTAATTGCTATTTATATAATCATTGTTTATTAGCACGATGCTGTATTTTACCATTTTTTTGTTACTTGCTATTTGCGTTTCTGTCTTGTCCTGCACTTAGCAAGTGCCAAGTAATGTAACAAATGAAGTGATTTGACTTAATAATTTTAAGTGAGTCATAAATTGTAATCATAAGTTGTGGGCAGCATGGTGGCTTAGTGGGTATGGCTGTGACCCGCGTGTTCCCAGAGTTGGGGCTTTTATTCTGGTTCCCTCCCCATGTTCTTCCTGTAGCCCAATAGCCTGTGCTCAGTGTGTGCCTATTATTATTTGCATTGCTATGCGCTGACATCCCATCCAGGGTACTTTCTGCCTTGGTCCCTGTGCTTTCTCTGAAAAACTGGATATAATTATATATTACCAAAATATGGACCATGCAGAGCTTTGTGTTCTAGAGCACTACAAAATTACAGTGATGACAGGGGGTGTAATATTCCAGACAGTTCACCAGCAAGATGATAAAGAACCAGTTTTCTTAGGAGTGTGAACAAAGTCAGCCAAAAGCTATGGAGCGTTTCTCAGGGTTTCCACAGTAACCGCCAATGGCCTCATACCAATGACCAGCCTTCCTCTGTAGTCTGGCTGACCTCCATTCTCCAATAAATATCTACATTATTTAGAGGAGAGTGTTTCACTGGAACTATTGTACAAGTAACCTTTCAAATTGTGAGCCCTTTCATTGGTAAACATTCATATTCTTCAGATCCTCCTTCTTCCTGAATCACAATTAATGTCAGTTTCTTTCTGCTGTTCACGATCTGATCTGTGCATAATAGGTAGGCCTTCATTTAAACTGTTGCAATTAAAAAGATTTTTTTTCAAAATCAATTACTTTAAAATGTGTGGAAAGTTTCTGTTTTTTTCCAATGTTATATTTGTCTTTTTCAGTAAAGATAAAATATAAATGTAGTATTTCATTATTGCACTCAGAGAACCCACTGAACCTGTTTCTGTCAGAAGCAAGGTTGTAGGCTCTCCATGCATTGTCTTGGACTGAAGTCAATATTCCTGGCGGATTATTAGGGCATGAAGTAATCAGTTGACAAGATGTGGTTCTTAGACGTTCTGTGTTCTTGTAACCTTGGGCAATAAACTTTGATTTATTCAGCAACATAGGCCGTTGCATTAAGGTATAGCCTGTCAAGTTAATAACGTGCCTAAAAGGGTTTTTTTTCTCTCACAGCAAGGACTGACATCAATATAACAAAACAAGCGTAATAAATACGAGCAACCTAATATTCTGTATCTCTGTATGAAACTGGAAGTAGATGGGAAACACAAAATGAACTCGAATTATACACATAAAATACAAATTCATTATAATCTTGTATATATCCTTCGGTAATTTTTCAAAATGATTAATATGACAGCGGACACAATTATGATTATGCGACTGAGCAAAGAACTGCTAGCAAACTGCTAACCGCCGTGTGTTCATACCAAATACGTTGAGTCAGCGAATATATTTGCCATCAATAAACATGTCGGACGCAGTACTTCCGGCCTTCGAAATGCTTCCGATTATGACCCTAACAAATATGTCTGCACCCATAATCACGTTTAGGCACAAAGATAGCGTTTTATCGATTCAGGAAAATGGCTCGTCCGTATTCCCTCGTCGTATGTGTAATTTTAACTGTTTTGAAAACGTAACCAATTATATCCGACGGTAGAAAAACACGCTACGGTAACATTTAGGACCGACCGGAGGTATGTCGGAGTATTATTGGGCTGTTTTTTCCTCATTTTTCTGACTCAACTTCCTGGGTGGAGAGTAAAGCGACGGCGAGGAGTCTTGCTGCTGCTGATGGAAACACTGCACCACAGACAAACAAAGACAATGTGTCGCTTTTTCATTTAAAGGGAGAATCGCCGTCGCTATTACTGTTATTGGGTAAGTTATGATATATTAGTTCCGTGTGTTTCTACGAACAGGATGTTGCGGTTTCATTAGTATCTTGATTTTATGCTGTTAGCCAACTAGGTTTGGCGTGGTAGTCTGAAGTCTGACAAACAATCAACAAATTGTAACCCGATGTGTTATTGGTTCATTAAAAAATAGCCGTTCAGATGGAAATTCCGTTTAAATTATTCCTCTTAAATTTGCTGGATTTTGTGAACAGATTACGAAACCGGTATTTTTTGTGCTCCTAATTCTTACCATTTAGCAAAATATTGGAGCAACCTATTACAGAGGGGTATAAAATCGTGGTACAGTACAGGCTTGCGTGTTTGGGCACTGAAAGGCTTTGGGGACATTGACTGTAACTTCGGACGTGGTCGTAGTTGAATGCGCATTACACAAACAAGATCACATTAATAGAAACTTAGCCGCCTAAGAATCCCACGAAATTGAGGGAGATCGTCTGTTTTCCACACTGGCATTGTTTAAGTTTCACATGTGATTAATTTAACAAAATCACGACAAATCGTGTGACAATCGAGTGTGATTCTGCTGCAATACATTTATTTTAAATGGGATTTTAACTTACCAGAGATAAAACGTCACTAACGAAACCGACCCCTGTAAACTAAGTCCCACAGTTTCGTTACTCTGTGGGTCAGACATACCACGGATGACCGTGATATTATCTATAAAATATAAGTCCAAAGATGACCCTGTCTTATTACTAATTTAAAAGTACATGCATCTTTAGTGCAATAATATAAAGTCACTGATATAAGTACTAAATTATTGTGATCAGTAGCGTTCCTCTTCTTAGTGTTGGTTTTTTATGACTGCTTTATTTAGTTTTTAAAATGTTAATGTTTTAAACTGTAGAAACAAAGGAAATCTTAAGCTTAGAATCTCGAAGTTTAATGTAAGTGTAATACCTTCATACTATCATAGTTTTGCATATGTTAATTTGTATTGTATTGTATTCATTAATACTTTATATAAAAGTTGGTCTAAAACAAAGCATTTTTCTATATAATTACATGAAAAGTAAAGCACTACATGCACTCTGTTCCTGTCAGTACCTAAAATTAGAGTAAAAATCAAGCCTGTTATTTTTTAGCTGCAGCCACAGCAGTGACAGTCTTGTATCATGTTATGTTGAGAATTTGATAAGCACAATAGGATGTCACTTGGGAATGGAAGGGGTTTCATTTAATATGCCTGCTAAAATGATGTCTGAAATGTCTGTACAGCTGTCTTAAGGAGCCTCAAATGCTTATGTACAGTTAAGTTTAATTTGTAGTCAGGAATGTGATTGACGTTTGTTTTCTTCAGTTTAGTATTTTCGTTCAAATAAAATATACTTATTTTTTAATCATTTTTGAATAATTATTATTTTTCACAGAGCAGGTGTTGGCCCCCATGGCACAGAGAGAGTCTTGGGTGTCCAGTAATCAAAGTGATGACTTTAACTTGAACGCCCCTCGCACACTGCATCAGCCTCTGAAGTACAGATAACATCACCTGTGGGGTAAGATCTGTGCTGTGTGTCCGTGCCCCCCTGCGTGTTTGTGTCCGTGCCCCCCTGCGTGTTTGTGTCCGTGCCCCCCTGTGTATGTCTAGTATAATGCATGGCCCACTTTGAAATTACCGGAGCCCCCCAGGTTTTGTGGATTCAGCTAACCGCTGGTTCAGTTATTGCCAATTTACCATGGTCCAAAAGAAAAACCAGTAAAAAATCTTTTTCATTGTTTCTTTTTTCTTTGAGTGGTATAAAAAGCATGATTTTTATTGCCCCTTTGTCCCTTGATACATTGTTTTTTCATTGCTCCATCATCTCTTGCAATTTAGGTGAAAACATCAGAATTGCTTTCATTTGAGAGAATTCAGTACTATACCGTACTGTATAATATACAGTGTACTTTATTATTAATGTTGGTAATGTATTACCTTGTGTAATTTCAGTTACCATATGTAAATACACGAAAATCACATTACTATCTGTCTGCGGATGGTTTGCTATCATATGTAGTTTTGACCATCCATGGTAGGTCTTGGAAAATACGGGGTGGGGGGGGGGTACTTCTGTATTAAAGGCATCCTTTACATGACCCCGTCATTCACAGTACTTGGAGGCGACTGTCATTGAAGTTTAATTTGCCAGGCTATTTCTGCAGATTCAGTTTCAACTAGAATATTTTAATATATCTAATAAAGCTAGAGATCGGCAACAATACCAGTAACCATTGCTGATGTAGTTCAGAGGCTGTATCATAGACAGAAATAACTGCAAAGTAATTGCTTTCTTTGCATGTGATTCACTAAATAGCTGGCTTGTTGGAAGAGTAAATTGATGGTTGGGCCTATCTTTAGTAATTTTGCCATCTATCTTCCTGGTTGCCTTTGGACAAGGACAATTTTCAGGAGTATTTTTGACAAGAAAAATAACTAGCCTATTATAAAGGTTACTATAGAGACGGACTTGATTTGGATGTTGTCGTTTCCTGAGTGATTGTCTGCTTGAGGTCTGATCCTGCTTAGCTGGAGCGTAACATAACAACTGGTAAAAATACATGTGGCAACATGCCGATCTGTTGTCAAATCTTCATCTTGTTAATACATGTATAAAAATCTTCTAGTCTAATGAAAATAATTGTAATATTATATTATGGACTTGAGAAAGCCCTTAGAGTATAGAATATTCTTCCTGTTAGTGTAGTGCAAGCTAAAACCTTGGCTTCCTTTAAATCTGAGCTAGAACTTTGGGATATTGAGTTTTCCCCAAACGAGCTTGATGGGCCGAATGGCCTCCTCTCGTTTTGTAAATTTATTTTCTTATTAAGCACTGATTACCAAATGAAGCGCTCATGCTTAGCACACAGATGGAAGTGATTGTGAATAGAATGGCACATCTTTAGAGTATATTGAGAGTATGTTTTGGATAGGATGTGAGGTGCTGAAATGTTTCATTACCAGAGAAAGAACATTCAGAATTTCCCCCTGGGATCAGTACAGTTAATTTTAATCTTACCATTGTCTTATAAAAAGCACTGTGAAATGTAATTGCTGGATATATTTGTAAGATGCTCTAAGAAATTCTGGTGACAATGGCAGATGTGACGTCTGTGCTTTACCATTTTAAAAACTGCAAGTGGTATTGTCATGTTGCTGTCAGTTTTGTCAGACTTTACAGTTAGATGTGGACCCTTTCTGCACCCAGTTATTGTTGAGTTGATCAGGCTCTGTACTAATCGCCCCAGACAGTAGGTGCCAGCAGCCTTTTTCCTGATCTTTGGTCTTGTGTTATTGTGCTTCCTCTTCTATTGTTATTGACAATGTGTTTCTCTTAGAACATTTACAAGTGTTTTGTTATGCCAAAAGAATACCCCCCACATTCACCGCTCGTTCCATTACGTCTGCGGTTATTTAACGCACTGAACCTTTGTGGTCTACTTCAGTACAATGAAGGGTTGTGTATTCATGCCTCATTTTGGCCTCAAAAAATGCTTTCCCTCTTTCACCCTGGTTCTTTGCGCAGCAGAGAAAGGTACACTATTCCTTTTGTATTTCGGGCTCATTTGGCAATGAGCTTGTAAAGTAGTTTCATTTGATGGAGTAATTTTTGACCTGATGGCTGGTCTCTTGGGGTTTGGGAATCACCCACACTCCCACTCCACCCTGTGCTCAGATTTCTCCGGAAAGTCTGGTCTGGTAAGAAGAGAGAAACGGGGTTCTCGTTAAAGAATGGAGGGCTTCACTTGCCCTTCACTCTGCGAGGTTGGTGGGAGGGGAGCTTTCGAATGCTCACACTCAACGCTGGTCATAAATGGTCTTGGGACTGGCTGACAAAAGCATCCTGGTACAAGGGCTACCTTGTTGTTGCCTGGAAGCCCGTCTTTATCGGTCAGACTGGTCACATTTCCACCCTGAGTGTCGTTCATGTGACAACACTCTGCTTCTCATGCTAATGGTGCTGAGGGAATCACCTTGTAAGCGTCTCTTCTCTGCTATTGGGTGTCAGGTCTGGGCAGTGAGCCTCCGCATTGACGGTCCCGCTGTGTTGTTTGCAGCCTACTGGTTCTGTTGATCCTCCAGACCAGTGCTTTCCAACTCTGCCCTCGAGGATCCCCAGACAGTCCACGTTTATGGGAACAAAGGGGAGAGATTTTTCAGCATTGTTGAAGTAATATTTAAAATTCATCCGAAGGAGTTCTGGAATTGTCTGTCGTGTATCGGTTTTCAGCAGAATTAGACCTATGGGCGATTCTCCCTAAGAATAGGCAGGAGGTGACCTGCAGCTCTAATGGAGGCTTGATGAGGAAAAGCGAGGGGGAGGGAACAAAATGCTCTGGCTCAGTGGAGACAGACTTTGGGAGAACTGTATTTGCTTCAGAAGGCCTCTGAAGTCTGGATTCAATGGGGGGGTGGTGGTCTGGGCTGATGGTGATTCAGGAAAGGCATCCGCTTGTGGCTGGTCAGACAAGCAATACCACCCCCCCCCCCCGAGCCTCCTCCCAATCCCTTGGTGTTGGGAGACTTGAAATGTGAACCAAAAGAAGAGTTTATATAGGAAGTTTGTGCTAGCATGGAAATATCCCTTTTTAAAGGTTGAAAAATGCTTCTTGACGGTGGGAGGGCCTCATTTTTGTCCTTTAGTTTGCCTGTTTAATATTTAATGCAGACCCTCATACTGACCCAATACAGGCCTCATTTGT